CTATAGGACCTTGGTTGCAACAGTGATCTATACGGTCACAGTTCATATCAATGACATCACAGCCTCATTTTAAAAAAATATCTCTTCTGCCTGTGGAATAAGCAAATCAGCAAGAACTCACCCACACCATTCTTATTATGTGGTGAAAGTTTCCCATACCAGTAAGCGCCACTATTGCTCTTTGTACTTGTCCAATACTATATTAATTCCCTAGTGTATACCAGCCAGACCAAGGCCACTGAAACGGCATTTGCCTATGTTATGTTACATCTGACCTAATGCTGTGGTGAGAATCTGGGAAGGTTGCCTGGTCTAAACCGCTGCTGCCTCTAGACAGTCCAGCTGTGGATTTTGCAGCCCGCGAGTGTAGTTCCCTGTAATTTCCATTGCACTGATGTATGTTAACCTGTGCTTGGTGCATTGCCTTGCTGTGCATTTGCACTGTCCTCTCACTTGAGACCTGGTGCTGGCACAGAGCAGCTTGCCCAACTCCGACTGAGACACATGCATGCACTTCACATTGGTGTTGTCATATCAGCGTTCATATCATATCAGTGTGAATAGATTATCACCTGGGGCTGGGGCGGGCGGGCCCACTAACTGCTGTGGCATGATGTTACCCTGCTGACTATGAGTCCTATCTCTGAGTAGGCTTGGCAGGATTCAATTTAAATTGATAGATGTTGGTAAAGGTCAATTTCATCTGCATACTGAAATATATGAAAAAAAGTATCCATCGGTAACAGTCAGCCAGTGCAGCCTCCATCCTGCACCCTGTGCCTGCAGGGATTGGGTGTCACTGGCCCTGTAGCAGCACAGGGAGCCTTCTCCAATGCTGCTGGCACGGATCCGTTCTCTCCCTCACCAGCTGGGAGTGAGGAAGCTGTCCCTGGGCAGGGGGTGGCCTCCCCCACAGCCAGGGGCTCATCCTCCTCACGGCCCTGACCTCTCTGATCTGCCCTGCCAGGACCGCAGCCTCCCCCACAACTTGTGCTTGGGGGTGTCTTGGGCTCCTTGGCCGTGCAGGAAGCCCCCTAGAGGCCCTCTGTCAGTACTGCCCTAACCCAACTCCCCCTTAATTTCCTGCAGCTGTAAAAATTAAAACCACAGAAAATAAAATAAAATAAAATAAAACACCTTAGAAACAAAAATCAATATTAACTTTCAAAAGTAGAAAAAAAATAAAAATCACATTCTTCCATGTCTGCCCATGACACTGAGCTCTTTCGCGAGACTAGGTGTAAACCTGATGCTTATGAAGTTCTTCTGCTTAAAGAAATGGTTTTGCCAGTGTGAGCTGATTGTGATGAGTTGGAAGGAAAACTTACATCCTTGATATGCTCGAGGAGTTCATTTACGCAGCTTGGTGGTGCCAGCAAGAAATATATTAAATCTGAATGAAAGCTTTAATTTGGTCCCTTTGTAGGCACTAAACTCTAGAACACGCCCATTTAATTAGATTATTGCTATTTGTACTCACCACCCATCGCTGAATTGTAACCTATGCCCCTTTATTTTGCGGTTTCAATCTCCCACTGTTTGCTTTGTCGCCTTCAGGGTTCAAGTGGTGATTGTCAGAGCCAAGTGCTCATGGGAAAAGCTGAAAGCCATTTTGGGAGGCTTTGCTGAAATACATGCAAAGCCTGAATCTCAGTATTACCCACCCTCTCTGATCATCTGAGTCTCTACCCCAGCCCTCCATCTTCATAGTGGTGTCCTTGCAACAGAGAATACACAGCAAGCCATTCTGGGAAGGGATATTGTTGATTCAGGATATTCCATCATCCTCAGACTCCAGGTTGTGGCAGCTGGCAGCATATGGGAAAAGCCCACCACAGGACACTTTGAAAAACTTTTTGGCATAGCAAAGCCACAGAGGGCTTATCTTAAATCATTTGAGAGGACAAAATACACAGAGGCCTCTGTAGCTTCCTCAAGGCCTCACAGGGCTAACTTTAAACCTCCAGAAAAGAGAGCAAGAGAGCAAGAGGAGATAGAGCCAAATTGGGGAGGATGGGGGGGCAGGGACGGCATGTGGTCAAGGTTTTCAAGGTCTGCTCCCTGCTGTGCTTCATAAAAGGGGAATAGCACTGAAAAGAATGACAGCGAAGAACATTTCTGCCACATCTAATTTCTATACTGCTAATGGTTCTATATAACATCAACAGCGAGATGGAAATTGAATGACTTTTAAGTGCACCTATTGTAAGTGGAGTTCTGTGACATTATTTCTGAGCCATATATGGTCATAGGTGCTGGAACTAGGGCTGGTGGGGGTGCAGTAGCACCCCCTGGTTTGAAATGGTTTCCATCCTATACAGAGGTTACAGTTTTGTTCAATGGCTTTTAACAAACCCCTCCCCCCCCATAAAAATTGTTCCAGCACCTATGATACTGCCCTGGATCTAGCTTGCAAACACAGAGATCTCAATGGAAGTTTTGTTAGCTCAAGGTCAGCATATTAAGAGTGTGTTATAAACAACTGGATAGATCATCGTACTCTCCTCTCCTTAGGTTGTTATTGCAATCATTTATAGGGCATCCATCTCCATAGCACCTTAGTGTACATTACATGCTTAACATAACCCAGATAAAATGAACAGATAAATTACACACCATTGAGACTTTCAAGAGACAGAGAAAAACAGAGGGATTTCAAAGTGTACAGTTGGTAGGTAAAAGGATGAGTCTTGCATCATGTTCTAAACATGGCCAGGTTTGGGTTCAGGCTATTTTTTGGCAGAAGCAAATTTTAGACATAAAGGCCTGCCAGAAAGAATGCTGTGCCTCTAGATCCTTAGACAATTACCTGAAGAGTTCTTGATGAGCGCAGGTGGGGCTACAGGTCACAGAGGGAGAGGCTTTCAGAGGTATGTCTGCAATTACACACGTATGGCTGGTCCATGCCAGCTGACTCTGCTTTGCCGGGCTGAGGCTGGAGCCCAGGCACTGGGACTGTCCCCACTTGCTGGGTCCCAGAGCTTGGGCTGCCGCCTGAGCCTGATTGTCTGCACTGCAGTGTTACAGCCCCACAGCCCATGCTCTGTGAGGTCAAGTCAGTTGACGCAGGTTAGCTGTGGTGTTTAATTGCAGTGTAGACATACCCTTAGGTGTGTGGCCCCGAAAGTTCTGTGTTGCTCAGAATCCCTAGATGTTTTCCTGCACAGTGTTTTAGGAGTGTAGGGCCATGATTCTTCAGCTGATCCCACAGAGGTGCCAGGGACCCTCCCCCTTCTTGCAGCAGGCAGAGGGGCTGGCACTGGCATTCATATTCAGGAACCACAAGGAAGCTGTTGGGCAGGTGCCTCTTGCCTACTCTTGTGTCTTGTCTTAAACTACATTAATTCCTCAGAGCTGCGACTGTTTCATACTATGGGCTGGTCTACACTACAGCTGTAAGTCAACCTAAGTTATGCTACTTGAGTTACATAACTTACGTAACTGAAGTCTATGTAATATAGGTTGACTTACAGTGGTGTCTACACTGCTCTGTGTCGATGGGAGACGCTCTCCCGCCGACTTCCCTTACTCTTCTCGGAGAGCTGGAGTACAGAAGTTGACGGGAGAGCACTCTGCCATCAACTTAGTGGGTCTTCACCAGACCTGCTAAATAGACACCTCCGCATCTATCGCAGCAGCGCAGATTTAGCCTTAAGTATAGACATGCCCTATATGTTTGTACAGCACTTAACACAGTGGGGCCCCAGTGCTGACTGGCACCTCTGAGCACTGTTGAAATATGAATAATAATAATTAACAATAAGTTGAAACCTTGATGCTCCAGTAATGTAAAGGAAGAACTAGCATGCACAATGTACAATAAATACATGTGGACTAGAATTACGCACTTACACCTGGCTTTGTGTAATTTTGGAGAAAAACAAATAAAGCAGATCAATTTTCTTCAGAAATATCTGGGTCTGTTAATGTTTTACATTACTTTATATATGAAATCCAGATCTGCCAAGTGTCTGTGTTCAAAAATCTCTTCTGCAGGTGGATGAAACAGCATAATTGTTTATGAAGATTTTTTTTTTCTGGGGGGATTTTTTTGTTCAAAATATTCCTCATACTTTGCCTTTTCCAAAATTTAAAAGAGACAATTGGAGAATCAGAGACAATAAAAACACCTGTGCTTGTCAGGTTTTACTACAGACATACTACTTCATGCTACTCAATAGGAAAAATCACATTTTTAAAAAAGAAACACATTCTGTGAAATAGGCTGTGTTGGGGCTGCACAGAAGGAAGGAATTAGACTATCACACTGAGGTGCCTGCGTAGGATTGTGTGTGTGTGGGCATGGTGGGAAGGGCAACCGGGATGTGATCTTGTGGGGAACTGATCCTCATGCAGTTCTGCACAGTGCTGGTGTTTGCCAGGGTCAGAAATTATGGGGTGGGAATTCATGTATCCCATTGTAAGAGTAAAATAATACATGTAGTGGGGCGTTTAGCATGTGCAAATCTCTCTGTGGGGAGGAGGAAGGATTAGTGATAATGTTTTCAGCCCTCCCTGTCTTGCTGCAAGAAATATTTTATTTCTGAAGCTTCAAAGATGATGCACCTTGTCTATACAATGTATATGTATGTATAGAATACATAAACCCAAACAAGAGTAGCAATGGACCTGAACTAGAACAGTTTGGATCAGAACTATCTTCCTTCTCCTCAGACTTCCCTACTCAGGTCTTTCTCTATATGGGCAGAACCAGCAAACTGTATTCAAACACCCTCAACTTTGGGGAAATTCAGATTCAATTTCCGGTCCAAACTTTGTGAGTCAGGTCCATCTCTAAACAAGAATAACTTCTCCACAGGAATGAATGCAATTCAAATATGCAGGTAATTGTGATGTGGTTGTTTGAGAATCTCCTGTAATTACAGTTGACTAGAATGTGTAGCTGCAGCAGCTGGACACCCGATCCACCACTTTTATCAGTCTTGCACCTTTGTGCATGAGAGATGCTTTGCAGCAATACCAGTCCATTGTCCATTTGCCTTCACAAGCAAATCTCTCAACTGGCAGGGAAAGGTCAATCTGTCAGAGACAGTCATTCTGGTGGTATCGCTCTGTCCCTCATTGACAGTTACTGAGGTATGCAAAGTGAAAAAACGTTAGATTTTAAAGTAACAGTTCAATACTCCTTGAAAGGTATTTAACAACATGAATTTGATTTCAGGTCCATTTTAATTCATTTCACTCCAGACTGATTTCTTGTATGTCATGGGGTGAATCCATTGTTTCCAAGTGTCTCTATTTGTTTTAGTCTTGTTTTTGCTGTCAATATGAGACAATTGAGAGAAAAGCTTATATTGGAAAAAAGATGCCAGAGTGAGCCTAATTTTCTAGACAGTTGAAAAAATTCTTTCCCCACAAATCTTGCAGCTTTAATAATTGTGTGTTATGCCCCAATATATTTTGAACTGCACAGAGCACTGGTGTTTATTGTGCATGTTTTTCATTTTGCTCCTTATTTATCTACCAGAAAAACATTTATTGAAAAGCCCTCAACATTTTTTCCTGGTCTTCACAACTTTACTGTGATACCTGACCGGGATCCCAGAAGGTTCAGTTAGATAAACATCAAACAGGTAGAGAGTACCTGCTTCCAATCCCTTGATGGTCTGTGTGGTGACTGCTCGTCGTAGATTTATATCATAGAAATATTTGCACAGCACTTTCTCAGAGTTGTGTCTGGATTTGGGCCCTGAGCACCTGTCTGCGCTCCTCACCTCCATCCAAACTTGATCCTCTTTGATCCTTTTCTTGTACACACAGTACTTGCTCTGCTCTTGTGTTCCTAGCCAGGCAATGGTGACTGAATTGCAGGTCCTCAGTTTACTGAAGGACTTGATTTTTAAGCTTTCTGGAAGAAGTGGGAAGAAAGGCTTGTGGAAGTGAGAGGATACTTGAACTTTCACAGAAGAATTAGTATGGTCCATGGACCTTAGCTGCACCAAATATGTGTCCAGCAGCTTTCCCTTCAGTGACAAATGTCTGAAGCCTGCAATGTTTTCTGAGGCCAGTACTTTACCATTCCTTGTTATCTGAACCCCTACTTGGCCACTACAAGATTGAAAGATGAATTGGATCTTCTTGTGTCTAGCCTGGTACTGCAAGCTATAGAATTTCTGCTTTTTCCCATCCAGGGTTAGATGAATTACCTTCCCATCCTTCAGCTCAATAACTTTAGGCTCAGGTTCCTCAAGAGTTCTTGCAAATGTTCCAGTGTAGGCAGCACTTGCATTAGTGAGGAGGTTGACTACAAAAACATCAAAGTAATATTGAGTGCCGGGTCTAAGGTTGGGCACTGTATAAGTATTCTTGGTGCCCATGCATATCTGCCTCACTTCCCCATTACTAACCCTGTTGATGATACTTAATTCACTATTGGACAGTATCATCACCTGTTGATGGTCTAGAAGATATAGAAAGAGAGAAAGAGCTAGCGCTGGTGGCGATTTCATACCTGAAGATCTGATAGCTGTCTCAGCTGCACATAAACTCTTGTAGTTGTGTTTTTCATTGACGAGAAGACAATACTGGATGTTTTCTTTGTGCTTTAAGACCGATGGGCTGTGTTTCCAAGCTAGAGTCACAGTTGCATGGCCAATACCGATAACATCTATGCGTGGATCTAATGGAAGTTCTGGATACAGATGCCCAGATGTTGTGTCAGTTGTTAAATATACAGTAATGTGTGTGTCTCGTTCAATTGATAGGAACTCCAGCATATAGAAAGCAGAATAGGAAGACATACCCATATAAGTCTCCACAGAATTTCCTTTATAGTTAAATATCATGGACACCAACTTTGGAATCTTCTGAGATTTTGTGGCTTCAAGAGTGTCATAATCACCTGCACGTGAAAAGCAGACTCATCAAAAGCAGACCCAATTGTTTTTCTTTTCATGCCCCACAACAATTCATCACTTAGCTTCTCAGTTTTATTATTCATATGCCAGAGAAATTCCTCTTGCTACTAATATTTTATGCTTTAGTGGCTATTCTTTTAATATTGTAAGAGAGAAATAATTTTTTCAAACAGACTATAATTAAACTCCCAATTGCAAATATATTGACCTATATAGTACCAGATGTCATTGCAACATTTCACTTTCTGTCAGTGTTTCTTCCTGTACTTTACTTTAGGACACTGACATTTTGTGTAGAACGAGTTTCCTTTACTCTGATTTTGTGCCTTTACCTGCCTTGTATGAACAAAAAAAGCCAGAGGCTTTGAAGGAATGCCCACTGAGCTAACTAGTCAAGTGCATCTCCCTGCTAATTAACATCTTGTTTCTGGCAGTGTCTAGCTTTTTTAATAATTAAAAAAATGTTATTTTTTTAAACCTATGAAACGATTCTGGAAATTATAAAAGAGAATTAAGTTTTCTTTTAACTTGAGGGAAACATAGCTCCAGATTATTCTATGCCTATTGCCTTGTACAATGTATTCCCAGGGAACTAGAAATGACCCAAATTCTTCCCTCTGCTGCACATTGTTACAAAGAGCAGAAAAGAGAAAATACCAGCCCAAGAGGTCTGAGACACAAAGAAGGGTGTGAGACAGCTCTGTCAAGAGCACTTCCCTCCCTCCCTGCTGATCTTATGGAACACTCACCATATGAACATTGTGTAGTTAGGATCCTTGGGTTTTGGGGTGGGTTCTAGTTGTTAATAGTGGAACTGGGGAGTAGCCACACTATTTTCCATGCTCCCCTGGCAGCCTGGCAGATATCCAGGTGAGATTCCAGATTAACAAAGCTCATTGCATTGTTAACTCCCCCACCTCAGCTTCTCTTACACTTCCGAAAGAATACGAGCACATGGCTATGGTGGAGGGAACAAGGGCCAGCATCCTTGTCTGTGGCCATAAACTTGTCCTTTCCTTACACTACCCTGAGAAGAGAATGCGTCAGAAACTGAATTTTATCTTGCAGGACTCTATTGAAGTCAATGGCAAAAATACCATTTATTCCAATAGGGCCAGGATTTCACCTGTGGAGTTTTGGGTCCTATTTTTCCAAACCCACAGGTAAGTCCACAGGAAGGGAGATTTGGACCTATAACTTCAAGTTTGCCCAGGCCATTTTTGTTGGTAGTGAGATTTCCTAGATTGGTGGCACTTCTTATGAATGGGCTACTTTCCCTCCTGCAGTGATCAGACAGATTTAATCCTATCCTATCTCCTAGAACTGGAAGGGACCTTGAAAGGTCATCGAGTCCAGCCCCCTGCCTTCACTAGCAGGACCAAGTACTGATTTTGCCCCAGATCCCTAAGTGGCCCCCTCAAGGATTGAACTCACAACCCTGGGTTTAGCAGGCCAATGCTTTAGCTCTTACCACGTGCTGCTTTTCCAAGGAAGTTTGTTGATGCCTTATGTACCAGTATACTCCATTCAATGGGAACATCACAGGGTGTCACGGTTACCGTGAAAGGAGCTGGGGCTCTGTCTTCCTCCAGAATGAAACAGTACCTGAAAATGTGAATTAAAAATGAACTGAAGGCATTAAGAAACACAGTCATACTGCAGAATCCCAGCAGGTAAAGTAATTAGCCATTCATACTGAAGATCTAAAAACTACATTCCACTGTAGGTAATAAGGACAATTCTACTATTAGGTACATTAAAGCAATAGCCTAGGGAGTGCTCTACATTTTCTTATGTAAAAAGAATACATATTGTGTTTCTTTCTAATCCACAAAGGTTTTCTTCAATATTGTCTATTTATTACCGAGTAGATGTATTCCACAATACTGACTTTTTAGACTCTATGGGACAAGTAAATACTATGGTATAATGGAATTAGGAAAGTGACTTCTATTAGAGCTCCATTCCCAGGCTAACACTAGGGAAACAAGCATGTGTTTTACCAAAATGTGATACCCAGGTTTCTTGCTTGGAGCAACCAACAATGGGTTCTGTAAGAATAATATAGTATGTGAGCATCACTCCGTCTTCCAAAGGTCTGAGACTAAGAGGATCCATTTCATACCTAGTTCTACTTGTTCTTGATTGGCAGTGTGAGGATGCTACTCCTCAGCTCTCCATCCCAACATGCCACTAGTCCCTCTAGTTGCAATGAGTCTACTCTGCTCATCTGGAGGCTTATACATAGCTTGAAGACATCCATGAAAGCTACTCAATACAAAATTTATATGGGCAGTGAATGCCCCCCATGCATATGGGAAGTAGCTCCCACTCAATGCCCCAAAAGTGATGATTTATACAGAGATTCAATTTCTTAACTCTACCTTTGCCTGCTGGTGGAAATGCACTTGGGTAGCACCACAAATGTACTTGCCACTCTGCTAGCATACTGAACCCTCCCTGGAATCCTTAATCTAACCTAACAAGAGTTCAGTTTAACATATTTACTTTGAAAATTTGGCCCACTGTGTATCACTGGTACAAAGTGACATCGGTTCCTGACTGATTCCAGTAAAGCCTAATCTCCAGCTTTACTCCTTTGCTCTTTGCCTGCTCAGGCTCTCAGTGCACTGAGTATGGCCATAAAGACAGGTGGACTCTGTTAGATCACAGTACAATAAAATATAAGTAATTATAGTTTTGTACTCATTGGTGAGATGTTATGGACACATAAGGTCACCTCAGAGAGTTTTTACATATTTTCGGGGTATTGCTACTGGGCCAGAATTAAAGTTGTTTGGGTTCCCACTGAGTATTTCCATATTTTTCAAATATTTCATCTTCTTTTAATTTAAAACTGGGCTCTGAATTTTCTGGTTTTATGTTTGATCTTTGGAAAACTATAAGGTTCTTGTGAGGCTTTCAGTGCTTATAATTAAGTGCATACTTCAAGCCTTTATTCTAGCTGAACCAAGTTAAAAAAAATAATCTGGAAATTGATATGTACCTGTTAAACCACATGCTATAAACCCCTCTTTCTCTTAGAATTTCAATTTCTATGTCCCTTTAACAGGGAGAATTCTTAGGTTCATTCTTGTAGTCATAATTTTGTTATATAACTACATGTGCAGGGTCCTGTTTTCTTTCTGCACAGTGCCCATCAGGACTGAGCCATCTGGCTTACCCTCTGCTCTTTGACCTCATTGTACATTCTGCAGGAATGTATATCAGATCTATTGACACTAATAATGTTGGTTAGTGTCCAAGGAGTATTTTAGCTGAATCTTGTTAAAGGACATCTCTTCCCAGATATCTATCTGAGGTAGATACAGGGTACCAGACACACACATACATATGTATAAATATATATATATATACACACACACACACTGATTTGACTACATACAAAATTCACAGGCATTTTGGGAAGTCCAGGTTAACCTTCAATGGAATTTCCATATTAAAAATTCTTTTGATCTATGCAAGCTTTAGTACTGCTCATCAAATTCACAGCTAAGCATGCAGTACATCTGAAAGCTGATTTTCAGTTTTAAAGTATACACTTATTGTAATGATTTGGGTAGTTAATTTATTGAGGAAAAATATTTGCAACTGACTTTGGCCTGAGGCCCTGGTGCTCCTACAGTTTTGTAGGTCAACTGATTAAGATATCACCTGGATATGCAGCAATAGCTATTCACATTTGGAGCCTAATGTAAACTCAGCAGTAATTGCATCAATTAAGAGCTAAATAGGGAAAAATCTTACAATGAATATACATAGCTGAAATCTATCTTAAAAAATCACTCCAGATTCTAGTTAAGTTTTTCAACTAAGAAGGCAAAAAAAAAGAAAGAGAAGGCTGGAAGGAGATATTGGAAGATACTTTCAAGGGACAGCAATATTGCATTGCTTGGCTCAGGGTACTAAAGGTAGCACTGCCAGAGCATTGCAGATAGGGAGTGTACAGCAATTATCTCCTTGATATTAGCAGTAGCAAGTCTGCATGTGCCATAGGGCAGGAAATGAAAAATAACATATGCGAATTTGTACTGAATGATTTGCTCCTACCTTTTAGGTATATCCTTCAACAGGTGGACTATGGTTTCCTTACCATCTGCAAGAATCAGGGAATGATTACAGTTGAAGAGATCACTCTTGAAGATGTGTTGGGAACTGGTGGGCACCTTTATAGAATGACACAAACACATGGCCACGAGAAGATGGAAAGGCAGGTAAATCCAGAATCTGAACATCTTCAGCACTACAAGTTGGGGTAATAAAAGTTTATAGCGATTGTTACCATTGGGGAAAACAAAGCAAACAAACAACCACAAACATCTCTCCTTTCATGTACCTCTCATTGTGCTTTGCCAATAATCATTATTGTCACAAATGGTAAAAACAATCAGTGTGCTGCAGAATGCTGCTAATCTGCACTTTGCTAAATCATTTATATTCACAGAGAAATGTCTCAGTCTCGTCCCCGCTCTCAGCAAAGATTAAATAGCAGAAGCTGTAGTAAGGTCTCATATTACCAAATATATGTATAATACAGTGTATATATTGTATGAGTATAATATGAAGAAGAGAATTATCAATAAAACTAAAAACAGCTGACAAATGAATGGACAAAATACATTTGAAGATACCTTATCCTGGTTTATTTATTGCATTAGTTCACTTGGTAATTTTACAGATTCAGTAATTTGCAAGGAGTCTCCCAATCACAAATTAGTGCTAATCTATTGTATGCCTAATGCTGCTGCCACCTGTGTTTTTTGTAATTCTATTTTTATTTTATACTGATTGTAAATTCATCAGGATTACAGGTATGTGCACAGAAAACAAATGATATAAAGGGAAAAGAGTATATGGAGAAGAAGGTGGTAGACCCCAGGTGAGAGACAATGTGTTGGGATTTAGTAGATTTTAAATTTTTTGTGTCTTTTATTTAGAGGAAGCCTGTATTATAATGCAACGATTGGACAAATAGTTCTGAAATTCCAGCACTTTATATCTTCTTCCTTCCAGCATTCTCTCTCAGTAGGTGTACTTTAGGATGTTTCCAGTCAATCTCTGCAGTCTCTCGGTTTTAAACTAATGGTAGTTTGCACCCATGTCCCTCTGATTCAGACTTTTAAAATGTCATATTTTCCCCTTTGCTGAGACACTTTATTATCTGCAGGGAATGTAGTCAAGGAGCATGTGAGGCTTAGGCAGTTCCAGCAAGGGGTCTGTGAAAATGCAGATGCTGTTAAAAATGGGACACCACACCTATGTTGTACAGAGCTACACAAATAAAAAGGGTTAAGTAAGTACTGGAACTTTTTGCAGTGTATTATTGGGTTAGATTGCTCATTATCCTCATAGTATTCTTCCATCTGCCTCACATTAATCTAAAGAGAGAGAGAGAGAGAGAGAGAAGTGATGGACCTGAGAGAAGAGGAGAAGAACAAGTCTCTTCAAAACTGATGTGAAATGCAGGGCAGTGCGTTGGTAGGCAGGGGGTGCTCTGTGAGCAGTATCTCTTTTGAAAAAAGACAACCTCTTGCAACTTATAAGCAATAGGAAGGAGTAAAGACATCAGCAAATGTGATTATCAGCCAGTAAAAGAAGAGCGTATAAAAGAAAAATAATCTGTGACATGAGGAATCCATGATTTCTAATCTGTACAGTTTTTGTGACTGGCACTTTCCTTTTGTAGCCTGTGTTAAGAAGAACTCAGAAAGTCAAAAAGTCTACAGCTTAGCTGAGCTACTGCTCATTAACAATAATATTTATAAGTGGAGCAGAGTTTTAATATTTCCATCTTGGTCCTGTACATTTAAGTATAGTTCTGAATCTATTTGCAGATTATCATGTGGAAAACTTGTTTTCATTGGTGATTTCCAAAATAACTAGTATGTCTCACAGGCTATGATACTACAGAACATCCTGTTTAACATCTTAATATCCCTTTCCATTCCACTTTGAAAATGTGTTGGTAACATTTAAAACACCTGACGAATAAAATATAGAACTATGCTAATAAGTCTAGCAAGAGTTGAGAATATTATTCTTCCTCTTGATTACTTGCGTAAATCCCTTTACAATAAAGCTTTTCCTCTGATGGTAATGTTTCTCTGTCACTTTTGCCATTCTTTTGTTCTAACTATAGCTTATTAGCTCAAAATTTAACCCTGGAAGTATTTTTCTTTACCTTTTAATAAGGCATCCAAATTGCCCAGCACTTCAGAGCTTTTACTCTTGCTGCTGTTTAAATGGTATTTTGCAAACAACATTCACATAGTGTCTGCAGTATTTTTGTTTTTTGGGTTTTTTTTTTTGTCTAGGAAAGAAAAACAAACAAGTAAACAAATAAATAAAAAAACACCATACATAATCAGCTTATCCTTAATAGAACATCATCCTAAAGGCTGACTTCTCTTGATTACACAGACAACATACACTCAGATTCTTGGAGACACCTTTTGCAAAAACAAACAAAACAAAAACTAAAAAAACCAACTGTTCTTACCTATTGTGTTTATAGACAGATGCTCCTCAGACCACTCTCTTATTTGCAGAAGCAAAAGAAAACAAAACAACATAGACTTTTCAGATCTCTGTAGATAGATGAAAACCAAAACTGTGAAACCAGTTTAAGAGGACAGAATGGATTTTTCCATATGGCTCCCACATAGACATTAACTAAAATGCCTGCAGTCTTTCAAAAGGGGAGGGTTTTTGTGTTTTTTGGTAACCTGTGTAATTTTGAAATCTTCAAAGTCTAAGTTGTTGTTTCATTTCTCAAATGTCTTCTGTGGAAAAAAATGCATGCATGTATTCTCCCTCAGACAGTGAGACCTTATTCTTTGCACAAGGTGTCAGCCAGACTGTTAAAGCAGCCTAATCCCACCGGTGGCTGGCCAGAGATTGGGTCTTTGACAGAAATGCATGGAGAGGAGGAGGGGGTGAGAGAGAAAGAGAATGTGAACACATTTAACTCCTTTTATTCCACAGTGTTAGCCAGCTATGGGGCATAGCTATCTCTGCATGAAACTTATAGTGTTGTATTAATGGCTCCGTGATCCTTCTAAACTGCCCTTTGAGTATTCCCAATCTCATTCAAACTGAATGCATCCCTTGAAATAGGAGGTGGAATGTGCAGTTTCTTAGACCTGCAATATCCCCAGCACTGGAGAAGTTCCATATTATTTCAGATGTATTTAATTTCTGTATTTTTTATGTCCCAAAGGGTGCCAATTCAAACACAAAAGGAAGTGAGAAAAGTTATGAGGAAGGGACTGCTCTGAAATTTTTAAAATCAGTCTGGAAAGAACAATTCTGAGCAGAGCTGTGCAGATATCTTGGATTCCTGAAGCTGTGTGGGAAAGAAACTCTAGAAGTCTATGGGCTAATTCTGGCTGGGAAGCCAGGGGAGAAAAGGTGCAGGGGAAAAAATTCACATAGGACACAAAAAAATTGCTTTTGTCATTGGGACTAGATATCACACCCAGTGATACTCCATGGTCCCAAATAGGCATGGTCCATCTGCATGAGGCCAGAGGCATGGCCAGGTCTCCTTGCTGCTTGTACTTGTTGGCATCTGTCAGCAGACATTGAGGGGAGTGCATGTTGCTCTCTTTCATGAGGAATATGTACTGTTTCTTAAACTCTGTGAAGGAAGTCAGGCAGTAGGAAGCTGGGTGAGGGTTTAGGATGGAACTATGTAGTAACGCAGAGGGTGAGAGAGAAGTTTTAGGGCCAATATGGTTTTCCTTATTCTAAAGTTATTCAATGTTTGCAGGAAGTGACTCTTACTGTTATTCACGTGACATGGTGTCAGAAGCTGATTCATTTTGAGCCAACATAAATAAGAAGCCAAGAAAAGGCCAAAATTCAACTCTCTGCAAGACTCTGAGATTGCTAAACCCACGGAGTGGCCAACGTGGGGAGAGCACTTTACTAGCTTCTGCATAACAAAGAAGCCTAACACAGAAATCGGCAAAATACAAGTCAGCTCATTCATTTATGCAATAGGGAGCAAAGCCAAAAATATGTATAAATTGTTTGCCTTCATGGTGGAAGCCAATAAGCTATAACTATGGTATTGTTCTTAACATGTTTAATGAACATTTCTTTCCACAAAGAATCCATGAATGCCCTTGCTTTTACCAAAGGGATGCAGAGAAAGTGTGGCACTCTATGAACAAGCAGCATATTGTGACTTTGCTATTGGTAAGGAAGAACACATGGGAGATCATTTTAAACAAGGAGCTTTCAGAAAAATCACGGTTAATGTCTGTGCTAACTCCAGAACAGGCAATGCAATAGGAACAGCCCTCTGAGTTAATGAAATTGCAAGACACCTCATGAGGAAGCCAAGAAAGCATTGTGCAACTAGTAACCAATAAAATGTTTCCATGGTGAAAAAGAGGCACAAGAAAGAAAGAGAATGCCTCTAAAGAACAAGACATTTCCTGAAATGTGGTAGGTGTGGCAAGGGAGAACCCAGATAGATGAGGTTTGCCCAAATAGTGGGAACATGTGCAAGGAATGTATAATAATAGGACATTGGGAGAGTATCAGTTACATCAAAGGAATCAGGGGGGCCTTTTCCCTGAGATCTGTAGAGATTCATGAGCAGAAATGTCTAAATAGACTTTTAAGGAGATGTGCCTTAGCCTGAAATAGGAGCAGCACAGAGTAGAGCCCAGTGGCCCAAAGGACAGACATGTTGATTAAGTCAATTCAATATCCACAGAAGATACAAAAGCAAGGAAGGCATGTTTGACACATGTGTCATTAATGGAGTGGGCCCACTACAATTACTCTTTCAGACCACTTCATAGCTATTGACATAGGCCTACCAGTGAAGTCAATGGGAGTCTTTGAGTGAGTGTGAATGTTTATGTGGAGGCACAGACTATGGGAAGACATAAAAACACCAGGGGCCCACAGTTTGGTCCTATGAATTTCTGGAGGGACAATGCCCCCACCTTGCAACCCACCTCCTGGATGACAGATGGTTATGCCACTTTAATAGATGAGCTGATACCCTAGGTAATTATCCAAGTATAGGAAAGTCCTTCAGGCCCCTTTCCACTCTGCATTGAGAATTATAGTCCATGAAAATCTGTCACCACATTAAAAATGTTTTTGGGGAAAAAAAGAAATCTAGCTCTTCAGTTAATGCCTGGCAGGTGTGTTGTGAGTCTTTATTTATATCTGTAAACTACTTTCATCCTTGGGTGCAAAGTGCTATAGCTAGTTGTAGTATAATAATTCTAATAAACTACATAATTATCTCAACTGGGCTGGAAGGGGCACACACAAATTACTGTGCCTCTTTAGAACTCCCCAGTTCCAAGAGCAAAGTCCAGGATCCTGATATAACACTTAGCAGAGGGGGAATAAAGTACAGAATCCATTATTTTTGGGTTTTGCAGCAAGGTATCCATGTTATATGCCCATTTAATGATTGGGAATCTAAGGGCTAGATCCTCCACTGGTGTGAACTGGCAATGGAGCAAATCAGCAAAATGGAGCTATGCTGATTTATACCAGTGTGGGGGGCTGTCCCTAAGTGTTCGGGTATTCCCCTTCTGGATGACTGCTAACAAAGGTGCAAAACATGGTGGAGCTTTTTGTTATGTGGCTATCTGACACAGACCTTCCTAACACAGTTCACATAGATCTCCAAACGGCCATCTGATGATAATGCTCTAGAGTGGCTACCAACCTGTGTTTAAAGATCTAAAGGAGGAAAGTTCTGTGCTATGTTACTGATCCCCTCAGATGGTCATTCCCCCTTCCAAAAACTCCTGCTGTATATTGCCTAGGTCAGATTGCAATGGAGGGAGAGGGAAATGTTTTCATGTTTTTGCTACACTAACTTCGTTGAGTTAATTCTGTGCCTGATCGGTTGCGGCATTGTATAATCCAATACACCTGATATTTTCATGTCTGGCAAGCTGCCATATTTTGTTTCTGGCAAGAAATATGACTTCCAACTTGTTTAAATGAATATAGAAAGAGGGCACCTCTTTAGAATTCCCACCTGCTAACTGGTTGGAATCAGTATCTGACAGCTACCTGAATTAATATGTCCTTGGGTGATTAACACACATGATTAATATTCCTGTTCAGAAACAAGATCTTTTTAGATACCCATTAGGGCTCAAGCAAGTATTATATCTCCCTGTGAGGCTGTGACAGGGAAGTGTGAACAAAATTCTGGTGCTTAAAAAGCACTCACATGTCGGACTTGGAGTATATGGTCCTAATGACTGGAACAGTTGTTCCTATTTCTTTTATGTTTTGTCAAATGCTGGCAATGCATAAACACTCTGATGATTGTCCAATAAGGGCAAGCCAAGCCTGTTCCAAATCAGAGAAATATGCCATAGGTATAGGGAGCTGCATGTAGAAAAGAGGAAACAAGCTAGACTGTCCAATACTAATTTTTTCTTGTAGTATGTGACTGTTTTGACTGGCATAGCTGTTGTCCTGGCATTCCCTATTAGCTTTGTGGGAGCAGAACCCATTGCTTTTTCATGTTCTGGCTCCAATGTCCCCACTCCAGGGTATGCCTATGCTGTATGTAAAGTTATCTGTGGCATTATGTGGCTCTGACTACAATATCTGTTAAAAATACAGGTGCAGATTTTTCCTTTCAGCAGCCTCATTTCTGAAGACTTCATCTTTGTTTTTATATTTTAGAATGATTTTTTTTTCTGCTTAGGTCTGACCCATTAACTAAGGAAACTAAACTCAGCTTTGAAGAATATTTTAGTAGGAAACTATCTAACACACACCTACCCACCCCTCCAAGTAGTCTGGGAGATACGGGGAGGAAAAGGGTTACTGAACAAGATTTGGAGTTTGCAGACGTTGGGAGATTACTTCTCGGGCTCGCTGTATCAGATTTAATAGGAAAATTCCTTATTATTTATGACAGACTTTGTTCCTCAACAAGGGTAAAATCAGTCCAACAGAATAACGTGCCAAGTCCCCAGCCAGAATTCAAGTCCCGCACTATGATACTAACAGCTTCTTCATGAATTAAAGAGAAAAACATATTGAAGGACCTGGGCTGCTATCAAGTATCAGGGGGTAGCCGCGTTAGTCTGTATCCCCCAAAACAGCAAGGAGTCTGGTGGCACCTTAAAGACTAACAGATTTATTTGGGCATAAGCTTTCGAGGGTAAAAAACCTCACTTCTTCAGATGCAACTGCTATATTCATTTCCCTTCCTCTCTCCCACCCTGGGGTGCTTAGTATTTTAGGTTAATTTCTG